CTCACTATCCGATAATGTCTAACGAATCTCCTCCTCGATTCACCATTTGCATTTGACACTTTATGAAGCGCGTCCTGGCTTTTGCCTGGTTTTTAGACCCTCAAAAGTCTTGCATGCTGTCTTCTCCGAGAGCAAGACGGCTTCTTTCGGGAGTTGTTTGCATGAACCCAACCCCTTTTTCTTTATTATTATTATTATTACTTGTATGTTGTATTTGTGCATATATTATGGTTTATTCGTTTTTATTATTTTTATGTTTTTCTTTTTCTTTGTTCTATTTTCCTTTGTTCTCTCTGATGATGCGGATTATGGAGATGGACGAAACCGAACTTGATGTCGGAGGTATCATGATGCCTCGTGGCAAGTGTACTATATGGCTCTTGTGCATGATTAATTAATACGATGCTTCACTGGTTATATTTCAAAGTAGTACTCAGGGCTACCTTCACTCCTAGTACTAGGTAACTTTTATATACATGTTGCCATACATGCAGTCTGCATGAGCACTGATCTTCTGTTTTGTCGTAAGATAATCATGATAAATGTAATATTGTATACCCCGTGTTTCCATCTAAACCGCATAAGAAGTAATATAATACTGCACAAAACCCAGTCAGCGACACCCCACAACAATTCAATAAGAGATTAAGTAACTCACCGTCAAACACGAATCCTGCTCATTCCAACTCCCCGGTAAGAAGACATACAGCACCAGAGCTGTCTCATTAATGAACGCTAACCCCATTCATTCATTAGCCCCATATCCCCACCGAAGTAAATGCAAAAGGAAAAGGAATCCTTACAAGCCACAACCCTCGGATTCAACCTCCCCACACTCAAAATCCGACTCCAATCCTTCCCATCAATCCTCACCTTAGCCCATCCAGCCTCATCATCCGCCGGCACCTCCCTCATCCGCTCACTCGGCAACTGACCCAACTCCCTCCCCTCGTCCAACTGCCCAGGATCCAAACTCGGATTCAACAGATCCGTCCAGACACTCGAGATCCGGAACGCGTCCGTCCCGACGGCTACTTTGAGCGAGCCGTGCATATTAGCGGAGAGTTCTAGCTTCGGTGATGATAGTGATGGTGTTGTTGTTGAAGTAGCTCCAGCTCCAGATCCTATTCCTGCTGACGATGTTTTATTGGAAGAATTCGTGGTAGCTAACTTCGTAAACCGCTCCGAGATACTCTTTAGCTGGATCAAGCTCGGCAGAAGGATATTTACATCTGGGTCTCGACACCGTGGCTGGTGGAGTCCTTCCACGGCGGATTCGTGGAGTACCTTGATGGGGATTTCTTGGGTGATTACTGTTTCGCGTTCTCGGGGCCCGGTGCCGGAGGGTCTAGTAGTGGCGGTGGCAGTGGTGGCGCTGTTGTCGATGGTGGATGAGGAGTGATCTGTTGCTGCTGCTGTTTCTGGGATGTCGAGGGCATTGGATGTCGTGGTCCAGGAGGTAGCGCGAATAGTTAGTGCTAGGAGAGGTACGTTGCCCTTTTTGGTCAGTCGCAGGTTGGATAGTTTGGCGGATACGGCGGAGCGTAGGGCGCGATGAAGAGCGCCGATGGGGACTTCGAGGTTGATTGCTCCAGTGTTGGATTCACAGATGTAGGATTCTTCTTCGAAGATGGTGTCCTGATGATCGTTAGTTTACGTTTGAAAGAGTGGGCAATTGAAGAGGGGAGACGTACGATCGGGAGTTGAGCCCATACTTGTGTGCCTTGGTCGGGGATGATGGTGAAGCGGATGAAGTCTTTCTCAAGACGCATCCAACATACCTTTCCCAGGGAAGAGAGGGAGGCGGTTAGTTCTGGGGAGAGGAGGGGAATGTGGAGTTAGTATGGGGGGTCACTTGGATTGTATGGGATGGTGATGGCGGCGGTTTGATGAGACACGGTTGGTTTGATTTGACTGGGGGAGCTTAGGTGAAAGGGATAGGTGATGGGACGGTCACTTACTGGAGAAGATAGACGCGTTGGCTATTTGGGTTCGAAAACGCATCTTGATGCCAGGGAATTACTTGCATGGATAGAGATGTGATGCTACGCTAGTCCACCGGTTTGAAGCCGGAGACGGGTCGAGACTCGAGCAGAGGTGCCTTATCGATGATAAGTTCGGGGATCGGCCGCGCCGGTGGGGATTTCCCGCTAACCCGCGAACCAAACTTCGCGCAAAAAAGGGGATCGCCATTGCGGCGGGAATAAACAGACTACTCGTTATGTCGATGATTGATATTTAGCTATGTATATGAACTTCCATGATTGAGATCACATAATGAGACTTACTTGGGTGATATCCCGGAAGATTGATCGCTATCAGCATGTTCAATTGATATCACCGAGGCATACAATGGATCCCTAAGCATCGAGGTCTGTATACTAGCCACGAACAGCGCAAGCACAATAACAACTGCATAGAAGATTCCATGTTATTTCGATGAAACATCAAGCAAACTCAGTCTGTCTACGGGATGTAAGCAAGTAATCTCTCACGGACATATCTCCGCATACTTCGGGGTGGCGCTCAGCGCCTCATCGACTCCATCTCGGACTGAGACTGAGCTTCCAGTGGACCAACCTTGTTATTTTTGGATTCATAATCATAGAATGTCTATGGCCTAGACTGGATCCGTGTGCTAGAACTTGCAAGGTACCATCTTCTCCCACTCCTCCTTGCGGCTGTCGAGTTAGTGGGATGGCCCCTGAAGTAGTAACAGTCGTATCCATGGTTCCATGGGGATGCCTCCCACGTGGTTCGTAGCATTCCTCGATTGCTTCATGTTCCTTACATGTCTCGTCCTTACTGACACAATGGTGGACTACTGTATGGTTAGGTTCCTTCATCTCAAGGGATCACGAACGGGTGTCCGTCCCTTGCTCCCTTTTGGGAAGGGAAGTCCAGGCACCAAAGGATCTTCCTCCATTGATGAGTTAGTATCCCTGTTAATGGGGTTGTATTTTGGGTTCGACTACAATGTCTGCTCACTGAGGGGCTCTGTTATTTGTCGCAGGACCGACCTATGTATAGTATCTTATTTATGCCTTTCTTTCGGATCCTTGCCTGATCCTGGAGGAGTGTGGAGGCTCACGAAGGGAAAGGTTGCCTTGTCGCCTGGTGGTTATCTGTTCTACCACGACGACAACCAGCTGGAGTCGCAATGTAGCAAAGTACACGTCAATGAACGAGTAGAAGTGGCGGACCAAACACGATTAACCTCGGATATAGAGGAACGAAGAAGGTAAGACCACTTCAACGGCTGCAAGACACAGTGGGTAGTGTGTTAGGGTACGTGGGTAGGCGGAAGTGCACGGAAGGGAGACACAGACACAGTCAGACCCCAAAGGCAGCTCACAAATTCCAATAACCAGCCAGATACGATATGCAAGGGAGGGTCGATCACTGATCTGCTATCCGTATGATAAACTCTGCGCTCGAGCAATCAGAAGCAAGAACAGAAAGAGATTATTGACAAGCGGTCGAAGTCAATTTGCTTTTATTTTCATCGTGCACGACCACTTGGGGCCGCAGTCTCATGGACTGTCAATTCAATTGATTTCCCACGGATTAAAACAGAGGCACGGCCATTTATTCTGATGACCGTACACAGAACAAAAAGTCAGACAGCGGATCTTTACGGGGGAAGAAGGACCCGCATCAACTCCGAGGGGGAATGTGTCTGTTCTTTTGCTGCTGCATGGGACTGGATCCTCGTGTGTGAGACATTAAGGAGGGGGTGGGAGATTTTCCCTTCTGTAAGTACGATGTCGCACAGGAAAATGTGCATTTTTGAAATGCTGGCATCCTCCTAGAATGGATGGATACATGAGATCCCAACTATGCTGCATCGATCGAGATTTCTCTGAATATTCTCTGCTTTCAATTTGTGAGGGTAGGGGGAAGGATGATTACTTCCGGTTGGTCTAGTAAAAAAAACAAGGCGCGAATAAGAAGGGGAGAAAAGGGAAGGGCAGTAGTAGTACAGTTGGCAGATGGTGAGGCTAATTAGTCGCCAATTTCACAGGGCCAGCACAGTAATAATACTGGTAGCCTATTAATGTAATAATTATGATAATTATAATAATCATAAAAATGATCACAAAAATAATAATCATGATATTAATGAAGAAAAAGAGAATAAAAATAAAATGACTGACATCTTAACGGAGAATCCACAGCTCAGTAATTGGGGTTTGTTAGTTAGTAGTTAGCTAACTGGAGTGTATACTTAGTAACTTGGTCTGGTCTTAAATTCCCCCTTAATCGATTGGCGGCGGCTCCACCCTTTTTTCTGGCATCGCCAAACCCGCGCGTCTCCGTCCACGCCATCACCAACTCACCTCTGCATATCCCCCCGTCTTCGAATCATCGTCGCCATTTCTGGTCTCGTCACTCTTTTTCCATCTGGGCCCAAACCTGAGCTGGTCTCTCCGATCACCCTAATCATCCCACCCTCGTTCTTTTTATCTATCTATCGGGCTCTTCCTGCAGCCACCCAACTTTCCCTCGCCCTGGGCTCCCCTCAGCCGTTTTGAGGCCCTGCAGTGTGATCTATCATCATCCGCCGAAACTCTGCTCCTCCAGAGTTCTTATTCCCTCACTTTTCTTTTTCTCGCCCTAGTTCCTTTTCTTCATTCTTTTGTCAGACCTTTTCCCCCGGTGTCCTGTCTGCTCACGGTGCTCCGACATATACCTACCTACCTACTGATTCATTCACTGCACCTCCGCAACTTTCCCATCCGGTGATCGCGATTGTACCAGCTCATCCCCAATCTCACCACCACCCACCCACCACCCCCGACCTTCTGGCTGTCACCTTTATATAGCTTTGGCGGGATCGCGTCAGCATGCTCGCTCTTCAGCTACACCCACTCTCTTTTACACTTGATACTACAGCTCGACCCCCATCACCGAGAACCCGTTATTGATTATTCCGCGACTGACCTGACCCGCTTGTCTGGGAGCTGTCGTCCTCCCGGAGCTTGCCGTTCTATTCCGACATGGCCAGCAGTCGCGTCAACCCCCTTCACCCACCCACTCGTCCGCCCACCACCGCGCGGTCCCAATCCCCGGGCCGTCCGGCGGTGCTGGACTATCAGAATCTCGATCCCTTACTCGGCAACCTGTCTCCCGAATCAACCCTCCAAGCGCTGTCCGCAACCGACGCCGTGCCCCGGAATGAACAGGCCGCCCACGATATCCTCTCCAAAAGTATCTCCCAGGTTTCTCCAGCGGAGCGCGCCCTCGGTATCCGCGCAGCCATTGCAGCCCAGAAGCTCAACCTATGGTACAAAGAAGTCCAGTCTTGGGAATGGCCGAAACGGAGTGACATTCAACTAGGCAAGGGCTTCGTCCCCCCTCCAGGCGCTGCCGCGGAGGAGTACTGCGGAAGCCTTCCTAAAGCCGTAGTAGATCAGCATGAAAAGCGGATTGAGGAGATCCGGGATGGTATGGATGTCTTGGATGTGGATGAGCTTAAAGAGCACGTCCTCAATGCCCACATTCCAGCCCGGTCTCGGCCTTCGTCCGCCAATAGCACCTTATCGGTACCTCCACCACTCAGCTATGTCCAACTCAGTGACTTCACGGCCGTCATCACCGCCACCATTCTCCGCGCTCTGCCGCTTCTCTCGCGCTTGAACAGTCTCTTGTCTACCTGGGACGTCCGATTGTTGGTTCTGCGCCAGGTACCTGAACTGCTCCGGCGATTGCGTCTGGCGCGCTCGGAATTGGATTCTGCCTTGGACTTGATCAAGTCGCCCACTCTTCCTGACGAAGATGGCCCCTTGTACTCTCGCATTAACTATCATGCCAAAAGGGCTACCCTGGAACTGACTGTTGTGTCTGCTGGTCGACAATTGGACCGCGTACTCGATGCGCTGGAAGGACGTGAGGACTCACTTCCCGAGAGCTGGATTGATGAACTAGAGGCTATCGAGTCAGAATTCGGAACATGGGTCATGGAAGCCGAACGACGTACTGTCGAAAATGAATGGCGCCGGTCAATTGTCACTGCTCAAAAAGATGCCCAATACAATGCACCAGAGACAGCGCCGACACAAGCACCACCCGAGACTAGAGAACCTGAAAAGCTGGCCCTCAATACGTCTGCGCCCGTGTCACAGGCTGGCCATCTATTTCCAATGGAGACTATTGCCGAGGAAGAAGTTAGCAGCCCTGTCGAGCCGTCACCCTCGAATGACGCCCAGGATGATAAGGAAATAACGGCGTCGGAACCGACCGTCATACCTGCTACTCATAATGCTGTCGACGACCTTGCATCTCCCGGTACATCCGATGCGACGGACTCTTCGATCAAGCCTGTTCAGAGCACTGTGTCCATTGCCTCTCCACAGGAACCCTTGGCATCTAGCTCCACCGTCAACGCCCTTGCTCCCTCTCCCGATGGCCTAGAAGAGATCGATGCCCTGTCGGATGATACCCAGGCGCTTCAGCCGGTCATTTCGGAGGTTACCCAGCCTCTGGAGGGACCGGAGACGAGTATTGACACGAACGCATGCAATGACTCGCCTCCTGGTCATCCCGATTCCAAGCATCATTTCTTGCCGCCTGTTCCTCAACAGGCGATCACTTCTGTGCCATCTGTCAGCTTGTGCGAAACCTGTCCGAGCCCACTTGAAGACGTGACACCCCGGGCTTCTTTAGATATCCAGGCTCGCGAGGCAGTCTCAACCGACCCTACCAAGAAGGCTGCAGATGCGCCTGCATTGTTGGAGAAGAAAGAGTACGCCGATGTTATGCCGGCGTCGGGGTCTGACGTACTTCGTCATTCTTCGCCCGAAGTGAAATTGCAGACCCCTGCCAGCCCTGGTACACCATCATCGGATGCCGATAGTGTGATCGTACGTCGACGAACCAGTCCAGTCCAATCGCCTCTCAGCCAACAGGAAAAGCTTCCCGCGGATAAGGAAGCGGTAACGTTTGATGCTCACAGCCCTAGTCCCGTGTTTGAAAGCCGCGAGCAACGGCAGCTTATTCCTGTTGAAAGTGAAGTTGCTAGCCCAGTCAGTGTGGCGGCCCAAACCAATTCCGCTGACAGTCCTGCTGCACAGTCAGGAGGCTGGAAAGACTCTTGTCAATTGGTGCCTGCGAATGCTGTCCTTGGGTCTCCCGTCCGCTCGGCAATCTCTAAAGTTGATGAGCAGCCCACAAGTCACTCTGCAAAGAATGTGCATGAAGAGTCCCGTGGTGGCAATACGCCCAAAAAGCCTCTGGAGAGTCCTATCAAACTATCAAAGTCTCGACCAGGACGCTTATCCTTTGAAAAGGAGAAAAAGAAATCTCGAGGCCGGCGCACGTCTACTGATTCGTCTTGTTCGGATTATCCATCGCTCGTCTCCAGCCCTGAGATTCGCGAGCCCCGTACATCCTCCTCAAATGGAACGCCTCTGCTGCTTGAGACTCCTCCACCTTTTCAGGATGGCTACCAGTCATCCGACCCCGTACCACCTGGGAGCGATCACACGTTGCGAGAAGATCGTTTACTCCGTCTGGACAACCAAAAGCCATCCCCACGTGCCAATTTCGCGCATAATCGAAACCTCAGTCTTCCATTGCAGCGTTTCATCAACGAAAGGTTGGAGATGAATTACGATGACGAAAGCGGCAGCGACCTGGATGGCGTCGCTTCCAATAGGAAGTCCACGGACGTGTATGCGGATTTACGGCTGGGCCAGAAAAAGGCACTGTTGCCTGCACACATCAGCAAATTCACCATTCCCTCCAATAGCGCTCAGCGCTCAGCAACCCAGCCTTTGGATGCTCCGAGTCAAGGCAGCCCTAGACCGGTCACCAATGGCACCACCGCCAAAGTTCTATCCAAGGCCTGGGAGCACAAGAAGGGCTCCGTTCCGAAGAATGCAAACCGTAGTGGTCTGCAACCGGAACCGCCTGTACACTCAAGCACCAACCGCTTGAGGAGACAGTTGACTTCGCATCCTAGTCTCGAGAGTATTGGGGCGTATAGATCCAACGCCCGGTCTGGCGATGACACGTCTTCGGTTACAGCTATCTCCAGGGCCGGATCTCGACCATCCACTCCAGGCTCGCAGCTGAGAAGAACCAAAGATCATCTCGACGAGAAGATTAGTTCTATCTTGTCGACCCTTCCTGCTCGGATCCATCTGATGTCAGCTGATGGCCAAGACTTTGATGCAGGGTCTGTGGCGACGTCACTTCCCTTGAAGGCTAGGGAACGATTCCGTTCCATATCACCCCAGGGAACGCCGTCCCGGAGCAGCACGCCCACGCCATCCTTGACCCTGACAGCTGCGCCCTCGCGCAGAAGGTATTCTCACGCTCACGCCCCAGAGGAGAGCTCTGTGAAGCTCTACCACCTGCATCGAGGTGGAAAGTCTGCCCCGACCAAGCTTTTTGTTCGGTCAGTGGGTGAAAAAGGAGAACGCGTTATGGTCCGAGTTGGCGGTGGGTGGGCAGACCTGGCTGAATACCTGAGGGAGTATGCCATCCACCATGGACGCCGGCATGTTTCAGATACCCCTCGTGTCGAAGTCCAGGGTCTGTCCACGCGTACCTCTCCCACGTACTCCGTCAGTGGGCGCCGCACTCCCTCCCGACCGCGGTCTGTCATTGGCAATCGGCCGTCTTCTTCATTGGCTGTGCGCAAGACCAGACGTACTTCGAATGTGTCGGATGTAACCGAGTTCCGGGCGGCGCAGGCAGCTGGCGACTCACTCACTGCCTCGTACTCGCCTATGTCGACTGTCTCATCTCGCAGAAGACTATCAGCCTCATCCAATGCCTCAATGGGCGCCGCCTCTTCAGCCAGTGAATTCCGTCACGGATCATACTCTCCTTCGACCACTGCTGCAGGTAGCAACTCTCACTCCATCCCACTCGGCCTTGCAGGGCCGAAGCCGCGGTCGAGAAATGTCTCGATCAGCCCGGAGAGTGAGGCGTGGGTTGAAGATGTTCTTGGCCAAGCTCGGAGGAGCTCGTCCTTAAGGCCTTACAACTATGGCCTGTCCACCCAGGACCCGGAGCCTGCTTCAACCAAGGCTCCAACCATCCCCAAGTCGAGAAGTATCAGCGACCTGGGAATGGCGGGTGCTAGCAGACGCGTCGCACTACGCGGACTTGCAAAACGATAAACCTACTCACACCTTAACCCTAATCTTAATCCTTCCAAACGCCCACCCCATCCACACTCTTTCTCCCACACGCTCCGCCCCTCCTCTCACCTGCATTGTCTACTAGTACTGGCGTTTTGCCGTTTTCCTGGGTTTCTCGGTTTGGACACACGGGGTACTAAAAGTGTTAGACAGCTACATGCATTGTCCGTTTCCATCTTCTTTCGGTTGCATTATCGGGCGAACGTTACACTTTCTTTCTTTCCACCTTCTCATAACAAGACATGAATCATTCATGTCTTGGTCATCTACCTTCATCTTTTTCCCACCATTGCATGCATCAGCGGGTTTCATTCTTGTTTTATCATATCTTTTTCTTCTTTTTCTTCACCCATTCCTCCCATCTATCTTGGGAGATGATTTCTTCAACCTTCCGGTCCTGGTTGACCGCATTTTCTATTCTACTTTCGTCTGACTCCTGTCTGTCTGTCTGTTGTTCGTGTTTTCACTTATTATTATTATATTTAGCCCTTGATTTGTATGTAGATAGATACCCTTAGGTAGGCTTGGGTCTTTTGTTGTTGTCGCTGTTGTTGGTGTCGTCCGTCCGTCCGTCTGTCCCTCTTGCTGGATAGAAAGAAGGACTGGCTGGCTGGCTGGCTGACTTGTTTGATTACTTACTTACTTAGTACATAGTGAGGGATTTATACTGAATCTGTTGATACTACTACTTCTATTCATATTCCGTTTAAAGTTGAACCAGTAGATTCTTGATATCAGAGGGACTAGTAAGGAAGTAGATAAGAGCTCAAGTAGACAGTAGTAGCAGTACGCGAAACAGAAAGGAAAGAAGAAAAGAACGCCACCATACCATACCAATTGAACCGAACCGAACAAACCCGAACGAGAACGCAGTATCCAGATAATAAGCAAGCATCCATCAATCATTTCATTACATGATACAAAATGAGGAGTTATAAAAATGAACGAAACGTAACAAGCGGGGCATAATTCGTGATTTGGACAACAGGCGTCCAAGCTAGTCCAGACTGGAGAGCACGGTAGTATACTGACTCTATGACGACTCTCCCTTTGCAGGTTCTTCCTGCTGCTGCTGCTGTTTCGGGGGCGATTTACGTGCCCATGGGATGTCCTTGTGAAACAGTTCCCTCAGTTCCGGGGAGACGACTTTCGTTTCTCCTTCACTGTCCGGTGCTGAGCTAGGGCCGGCACTGACACCGCTGCTGAAGGCGGTGCTTTGGGGTCGTTGGGGCGATTTGCCTTTGCTGTTTGTGCTGGCGGAGGAGTCTTGTGTGGGCTTGCGTTGGTGGGCGGCAGGTGCAGGGAAGTTGTTTTTCTTGTCGATGGCCTGGACGGCTCGTTCGAAGCGGTGGAATAGGGATTCGGCGCGTGTGAGGATGGGGATGAGTTCCATTGTGTTGGAGAGTTCGTTGACTGCGTGGTATTTGTGTTAGAGACTTGTCTCTTGAGTTCTGTGGAAGTGGTTGGTTTGACTTACTGTACTTCAAGACTTCGTCGAACTGCTTCAGGTGGTCCATTATGACATCCCGGTGTTTTTCGAGGATTGCAAGTGCGATGAACAAGTGGAAGCTGCTGGACAGGTAATCGGTCCATAGGGTTTCCCAGAGACGTAAGACGTCTGGCCATTCGAATTCGCGCTTGTACCAGACCAGGAGCATCCGGAAGAAGAAGAAAAAGTTCGTGCTGTCGGCGGATTGGAGGTGGAGGTAGAGTTGAGGATCCATGAGTTGAACGAGGTGGTCTAGAGTGAGAAGTTGTACACGCATGCCAGATTGGTCGCGGAGGAAGTTCCGCTCCTGTTTGTACGCATCAGCATGATAAGAAGTAGTTTTGGCTGCCATGGAGCTTACCATTCTGTCCATGAAACCAACAAATGCCCAAAATGCCACTGCGTCATCCTGCATGACAGCATAAATCGGGGCTAGAAGATCACTCATGCCTTGCACATAGCCCAGGTCCGGGTTGTATTCGTTGTATGTGAGCAACATATCCTTCATCTGCTCAAGATGCACATTTGTGCCAGTATCCGCAAAAGGCGAATCTGGGTCCGGGTGGGGAATGTCTTCTCCAGCAAACAGGGGTATCGTACGGTCTGTGCGATGAACATCCTTTTCTGCGCGCCTATGTAAGTAAATGCGCGTGATGCTTGGGCTGCAGAAGAACTCACCTATTCTATTTCTCTGCTCTTTCCACCAATCAAACTCTTCCGCCGAAGAAGTGCCTTCAATCATCCGTTCCCACCAGGCGCCTTTAAGCCGGATGTACTCATCCCGCTTCGAGTTCATCAACGCTTGTCGCTCCTCGTGGCTGCTATCCCACGGATATACGCCTAGAAGGTAGAGCCATGCTTCTTTCCTAACACCATCATTCGGATCTAATCCACCATGGAATATCCTTTCCTTAACTTCGTCAACGGTTACATGCAGTCTTCCAGTAGTCGGGTCAAAGAAGCCCTCCCATTCTTTCAGAGTGAGTGTCTTCCGACGGTCCTGGATAGACATGGTACCTGTCTCGAGGTCAAGGATCTCGAAATCTCCAACAGAACTGTTCTCCATGCTAAGGACATCTTGGGCAGTGTATATCCGTTGGTTTCTTTCGCGTTCACTTTGCTCTGATATGCTCATGGCCCACCGTGCTAAGTATAGCCTAGCGCTATCGAACTCGTCCTGTAAAGTCTGAATTTCAGGTGTCCTCATCAGACGGCGGACTTGTGGGGGTATCCGAGGGTTGTCAGCTAACTCATTGGCGGTACGCCTTGTGAAGGTTGTGATCTTGCTCAGCTGCTCAAGGACCTTCCACCTCGTCTCCTTCAGCGCTTTCACGAAGGGGTCCATCCCCGCATCGCGTTGGCCGCTTCCGCTGGCCTGAGCAACGGCAGCCGGTTCATCTTGAGCCTTGACAGTTGAGCCATCTGCAGTTAAAGGTCGTCCAAATGATATGCGGTCTTCATCCGATGGGTTAATCAGATATACACTATTGTCCACGGCCGAGCGCTGGACCTCAGCGTATTTCCGAAGCCATCGCAGAACCTCATCCCCGCCCCAGAAGACATTTCCGTCCTCGCCAAATGGATCGAAGCTTTCCCTGGTTCGCTTTTTCTTCTGCAGGATTGTTGACTCGCACTCCGTGTCATGGAAGAACAGCGCGGGGAAACTGTCGCCTGCGCGGGTGTTGATCACAAGACTTCCAAACCACCAGCCTAGACTTGGAGGTCGTACAAGGAGTGAATATATTTCAGACAGAGGAACCGCAAATGCGTAGAGGCCGATCGGGTCCTTATAGGTCGTTGTCGTCGGAAGAGCGGGGACCAGGTATTTCTGTCGCGGAGGGGAAGAACCGTCGGATAGATCGACTTTGACATAGGTACTGTATGCATCACCCAGGGAAGATTCGGGCACCCATGCTAGCAGGTAGGAAGAGAGGTCTGATGAGGAGTTTCCGGAAGTGGTCTCTCTAAGAGGGGGGAGGGGCTTTTGTTGGACGAGGGCAATAAATCCGGGGATGTTATCTTTCGAGGAAGGAGTTGGATGGACGTAGACCTGCAATGCTCGGAACCGAATGGATAAGCGAGATGTTCATTTTGCTAGCTTGCAGATAAGCCTACCTTGCTCTTGGAGAATAAGAGTTTGACTCCTCTGCGTGAGGTGGAGTGAGAAATGGTGTTGTATTCATCCTCCTCATCGTCACTGACGTCGTAGTACGACGCCGTGGGCGAGGGCGGCGAAGGAGGAGGGGTGTATTGGATTCCGTTGCCTGCCATATCGAAGGGAGGAAGCGGAGAGGTGACTTTTTTTTCAAGGGATTAAAGTGATTAGGTCCTGATCATAATGCGAACTGAAAGTGAAACTAGATTTTCCTGAAGCTGGTCTGGAATGTCCGGAAAGTCAGCGCCGGTCGGCAAAGTGATGATTGCGGAGAAGAAAGCAAGTCACGACCGCCGGTCACGACGTAATCGTGGGGTCCACCGCTTCCATGTGATCGCCTTCACATCTCAGAGTGATTCATGCAACTTACCTTGCAAAAGATTTTTTTTTTATATTGCACAGGATATCAAACAGTCTGCTTGGAATACAGTGCTGGATTGAATTTGTAGGTCAACAGTACCTTGCTACTAAGCACCTCCATCGTCGCCACCGATAAAAAACGATGACTGAATCGCCCAGGCAGCAGCGAAACTATCATATCTTTGATAATCCGCTATCAAATCAATCAATAGCAAAAGAATTCTGTTGCCCACGCAGTATTTCTTCAGTTGGCCCTACTATTTTGCGCTGCAAAAGCTTGCGTCGAGGACTTTATATCTAGTCATCACTCGCAATAGGCACAATATACAGAGTTATGCACTGAACTGGACAGGTCCCTTAAACCACAAGACCAACTTGAGCTTGATATCGTAGTAATTAGTCACCAGTTGGCAAGCGGGGAGACTAGCAGCTCTAATCAGCGCAAGCACGGTGGAAAACTCATGTATCATTGTCAGGAGAATATAGCGCCGACATATGAAAAGCGTTGTCTTCTGTTGAGCAACGGGCGTGGCAATAGAGAGTACTTAGCATACCTCCCGTAACCAGCAGTGCCTTCGTTTCGTAGCAATTCCAGAGAAAATAGAATTGCCGCCTATAAGTAAGTAACGAGTTGTCTGCTCGGAGAAATAATTTATATCAGAAAATCAGCACTCCATCCGGCAGGAGTTCTAAAGAGTGCTAGATTGGGCATTTATCAATACGTCTGGTACCATTAAAGTTGATAGCCCTGATTAACCCTGAAACTTTGCACTCAAAAGTACCCTCTTAGCTTGATTATACCAAACCCCCAGAACTGTTATCGGCTTCACACCCTTACCTCCAGTCATCTCAAGCAGAGAATGACCAGACTAATGCGGACAATCCTATCTACGTGTCTGGCTGACAGGACTGCAACCTTACGTCTGGACCGGTTTCATCTGACCTGTCGGCCTTCAGTCATTCGTCGGTACAAAGGACCACGCTTATACTATCATCGCTACTAATGCACGGGATTTTATACCCTCTTCAGGAAATGATTCGCTATCCAATAGATAATGGTTTCATGTACTTGAGGATGACAGAGTTTCATTGCCTTTGGACACCGGCATCCATAAATACTAGACAGCTGCTTCATGCAGTCTGTAGTCGTGCGTCGACTGCAAATTCAAACTCGCAGCAATGTCCGAACTTATGCGCACTTTGCCGGCCTCCTGGTATTGCAGCCCGCCTCTCTATCAGCTTGAAAGAAGGGCAGTGTTCTTAAAGGTATGATCAAAAGCTATCGTCGAGGATATTGGAATACTCACAAGCTTCTCAGTCGTGGTATCTTGTCGGACCCGTCACTAGATTCTGTGACATAGGCGCCAAGGTTGAGTATGAAATAGCTCAGCAGCCTATATATGTTGTTCGGTGTTCGGGGGAGGGTCCCTTTCCTGGACAGGACGAGATCCAAGTAATCTGCGTGAAAACTGTAGGTCAGCTCAGCATCATCTCAGACATCAGACTGGGAATGCGTTCCATCCCCCGAGCAATATGTCTATCGAAAATTCTGTTCCTGATCAGCATTAGGAGCGACGTCTAAAGCACCACGTCACGCCAACCGGCCTCGTTTTCGCTACTCTATCAGACGAGGCGCCCAGCTTCCATGAGTATTTCCCGGACTTGGAGCCACTGCTCCAACAGGTGAACTTTACCAAGCTCCCGTACAGACACAGCATCAAATACGAAGGACGATTTAACTGGAAGACTATGTATTTGATACCTTTGCCTCGTATTCGGGAAGTGATCATGTCTCCCTGACCTGGCTTCCATGACAGGGTCGATGGCTACCAGGAATGCCTGCATTGTCAATATACGCACCCGTCATTCTCCGTATACTACCCGCCCACCTCGTACGCGGTGCACAATCATCAGAATTTTTCGCAGCATATCGCCGACCCGGAAAAGCCGGATGATGGTCTATTCCTTTACTTCTTCCCCAACTGCACTCTGAATGTCTATGGTGGAGGAATGTCCTCGTTCCGAGTATGCCCAACAGATGACCCGAATGTGACGAGGATGGAGTTTGACTACTACCATATGGAGTCGGGCGAGAAGTTCGACGAGTACTTCAAATTTGTGCGGCAAGTGGCCATGGAGGACTATGAATTGTGTGAGAAGGCTCAGAACAATCTCACTAAAGGCATCTATAGCGAAGGCATCCTCAACCCGGAGAAAGAGAGCGGAGTTTCATGTGAGTCACATGAAACTATCTATATGCCCAGATTACAGTAAGCTAATCAGACAGCAGATTATCAAGACCGAGTCTTCGAGCTCGTGTGTCAGCAGCACGCAGCAGAGAGACGAGAAAGGGAAATGGAAGGTGCGAAAGATGATACTCAAAAGAGGGGTCTGCAACGTATCACAACAGCTGCATAATACAAAGCTGTTTAAGCCGTGGTTTCGGGACTCGGTAACATGATCAATCTTATCAGTGGCGTTGATTTCAGTGTTCTGCACGGACTGGCTCCTGCAATAGTTCCTGTAAATGATCCCCATCGAGGTGTGGCATCAGATAAACCCTTGGCCAGGATCGGCCCAGCACATACTTTAAGCGTCATTCATGCGCAAGTTACTGGAAAAGAGCACCATATCTGGAAGGTCAATACTAGCTTGGAGTAGATATAGTTACTTAAGTGCATGATCACCTGAAGACTTCCTCTTCTCTCACTGGACGGGGAAGCGGGAGTCATGCAGAACCTGTGGAGGTGACAGGGTCAGTGCTCTGTTCCTGATACTGCTTGATTAAATCCTCGGGATGTCTTTTCGTGCGATAGTAAGCGCATAAAAACAACTGATCCCCTGTAGAAAGGTATGGCGGACAGCACAGTTTCAACATGGCTATAGAAGAACAGTATCCGGCTCTGCCTCCCGCCTTATCGGCCCTGGTTTTGGTTTCATTGTTAGCGGGGCTAGCTTTTCTCTTTCAATCTTTATCACGGCCCATCTTCCGGGGTTATAAGTCCCTGCGTGCAGCTAAGCCGACGGAAACCGAGCTGGATCCTCTCCCCGAAGGTAATGAAAATATTGTCTGCAAGGAATCGGATTTCCCACAAAACTGGTGGACTGGCTCAGAAGTCTTTGATCTAGAAAGACGGGCAATCTTTAGTAAAGTACTATGCGCCATATAACTTCACTTATGAAATCATGAATTCGAACATAATACTCACATAGAATCAATTAGAGATGGCTCTACCTAGCCCACCGTAACCGGTTCACCAAACCCGGCGATTACCATTCCTTCGAAGTGGCAGGTATCCCAATTTTCCTGGTACTGGGGAAAGATGGCGTCGTGCGAGCGTTCCATAACGTCTGTCGCCATCGAGCATACACAGTCACGCGGAAGGAGTGTGGCTCGTCTATGATTCTCGGATGTCGATATCATGGCTGGAGCTACAATACCAAGGGACAGCTCATCAAGGCACCTCACTTTGACAATGTCCCCGGATTTGACAAGGCTCAGAATAGTTTGTTTTCGATTCATATCACAACCACACCTTCTGGCTTTATATTCGTGAACTTGGATGCATCCCCGACGATGATGCCATTGCAGACAAGATCTCTTGATTCCTTTGCGGGCGGGCATGGCATCGGACGACAGTCTACGTGGCTGGGAGGGCAGACAGTGGAAGGGCAGTTTAATTGGAAGATTGGTTGTAAGTTCTTTTCCCGATTTCTTTCTATAACATAAAACCATCTAACTTTTCGAGATAAGTGAGGTTACAGAGATTCATCGACCACACGGAACTGGAGACCGAGTTCACACAGCCAAAGTATAAAGCGCTGTTGTTGAGCTTGTTCAATTTACCACGAATGCACTCGGAAGATGTTAGAGTCTTCCCATTTACTACGATTCATACCGTCCGCGGAGGGGTGATATGGTACTCCCTGAGCTTCATTCCACTGTCCGAAAGTAGCACCTCGGTTCGGATTGACTTATACTCCCACAAAGACATGGACAGCCCTACTCTTTCACCAACAGCAAAAACACTCTTCATCAAATTGTCGAACAGTATCCGAGAATTGGAAACCCAGTTCCAGTCACTTTCTGAAACAGTAGCGTACGTTCACAAACGCGAAAATGAGATGGAGAACTAAGCAATCACATCTCTAGGCTTCCCACCTATATCACATCAGCATCAGACCCAGCTTGCACAGGTAATTCCAACCCAACCCAATCCCTTACTCATTAGTACACATAGGTCTTACCAACAACGTCCAGATACACAAATCGAAATCCTCGAGGTCATCAAATCCCACGCCAAATTAGAAAAACAACTAGGAACCGAGATCTTTCCCGCTACGAGGAGACCTAGAACCAATGCACGATTCGAGCAGGCTGAACAAAGTTAGTTGAATCCCCTCCATATTACATCTCTCTGCTGTACTAAATTGTAAGTACAGTTTGCAAAGACCTAAATTGCCAAGACACGTGGAACAGCAAGAGTCTTGCCTGGTGAGAATACATAGCACAGGTACGAACAGGATGAGGTAATACTGTGCTTTAGTTAGTGGTCCTGGTGGCTACCTGACGCAGTCGAATCAAGTTATTTAGTTAGTTAACTATTGGTTTCAATGATATTTAATGCAAAACAATGTTATGGATTGATTCAAGGGATAACATCTAATTAGTCTAACACAGCGGTTTCAGACTGGGCGGGGAGGGGGAACAAACTTCATTTCATCGGTACTGGTAGAACGAACACAACAAATAGTA